ACTAGTCAAAGCGCCGGAAACAGAATGAACTGTCAGCCAGAAGAGCGACGACTATAGTTAGTTTGTCGCTGAATGAAAGCAATGGCACGAAGAAACTGAGCAGAAATTGCAATGAAAACTAACAAGAAATGGCGATATGCAAGATAAAGGCACAAGCTATACAGTTCTTTTGAGGAATACTACAGTTTGAAGGGAGAAAATGCGATTTTTCTTTTCAGAATTGGCCTACCACTGCAATTACTATTTGATAACCTAGATAGCAGTTTTGATATTTTTCGGAGGTTTTTTCAGGGAAATAAAGGTCAGTTTTAGAATTTTGAATGATGAAATTTATTTCGATTACGAGACCTAAGTAACTAAAACAACATTACTGGACGGCACCACGAGAAAAGCGGCAAAATCGCTGATTTAAACACCGTCTGGCTTTTTTTGCAGCAGACTATTTTCCTTCGACCAAATTTGTCTCTATTACCTCAGCTTGAATAAAAGCCTTCTTTGAGTCCTCGTTAAAATTTACAGAACGAGCTTAAAACGTTTAAACTTGGCAAAAATTACCAAAGGAAAGATTACAAATCGCATAGCAAACGGAGTTGTCATTAATCTTGAACGCACATTCACTTTGCAAGTGGTTTTTGTTCTCATCAGTAGATAAGATTTTCAGTACATATCTAAATGAAAATCCAGTCAATTTGTCGCTACAATTTTCTTGAAGAAAAAATATGTCAACTTGTCCTTATCGGGGGGCAGTCTCGGTTATTCTAGTCGAAAATTTTTGAAATTCTTTCACTTAAGGTGGCCCGTACCGGTTTTCATCTTTTTGATGGTTTGTTACTTTGAAATAATACAACAGAAAGACTGACCAAGGCCAGTTGAACACTTTTACGGGGTTGAATTATATAATAATAGGTGTCATTTCATCACTAGCAGTTTCCATGGCAACGCCTTCATAGGCTTATTCAGACGCATTTTTTAGCTTGTGGCTTAAATAATTCGAAAACTAACCCGGTGACCCCGTGATTTTTTTCAGTGATTGCTCTTGGCACTTGAAAAGGAAAATGCACAAAGATTTTTAAAAAATTATACAGAGCTGAATTTCAGAAAATCCAAAAAAAAGGTAATTTTCACACATCGCAAATTTCCTTTCGTAGACTTTTCTACTTTTTTTTTTTCTGATGATTCCTCTCGACATTATTATCATATTGGAAAAATAAAAAGAAGGGTTCACCGGACTTATTTTCATACAATAGCTTTTGTGAGTTTAGCAATTCCCACGCGCGTTCTGCGCATCTCAAAATCCGGATTCTATAAGATCAACATTTGCTCATGATCTTTTATAGCTACCGCTGACCATCGCGTGTGTTCGTACGAGCACCTACGATCTTGTGTTTACAGATGTTTACTGCTAAGAAAATCATATTTGTC